GCATATGTATGGATGAAGTAAATGAACTTCCAATAAGCCTTTGTCTTCTTTTCCTTCTATAACAGCACTGTGGTTGCATGGGGTATGGAGGTATGGGGTGGGGATGGGAGGAATAGAGCAGAAGCAAAATAAAGTGAAAATGGTTTTACACATTTCCCCCCTGATTTTTGATTTCAATAGTATGGGGAGGTCCCTGGTATGGAAATGTCCTCCACTAATGCAGATCGACAGCTTTTCTGTAACTTAGAGGCTTAGAGAATTACCAGGTAAACACTGAGAGGTTGTTACCCCTCATAGGATAATAACTCACAGAAATCTATTCCTTTTTTCTCCCTGAACCCTGTGCCTCCCCCAGATACCTGTTGGTTTTCATATTTAATATTATATTTCTTTCTTTTGCTTTAATTTAGATTGGAAAGAACCTTAGAAATCATCTTATCTAATCATCTCATTTTATAAATGGGGAAACTGAGGCCCAGAAAGAGTTGCTTATAGTCACAGAACTAGTATGTTTCAGAGATACAAGTTGAAGCCATGCCTTCCTGACTCCAAGGCTGGCCACTATATCATACTACCTCTCATGTGCAAATCATCATATAATAATAATACACATGCATAGCATTTATGTTTGGAATATGTTATATACATATATAATCTCATTTTATATTTTCATATATATATATATATATATGAAATCTGCATTTGATTAGGGATTCTTTTAAAAAATTACTTCTGAAAATTAGATGGTTTAACCTCAAAATAATAATCTATAGAACATTAAAAAATAATTCAGTCCTTGAATTTACAGTGTAGGTTTCTAGGTACTTTGTCCTTTATTTAGAAATACAAAGATGGGTAAATGGAGACATCTGTTTGAGCTCTCTCATTAGCAACACAGGCTCAAAAACAATGTAATCTTATGACTGGGTATATGTTGTAAAAAATGAAACCTTAGGCACTAATCTGGACAATCCAGATAAATATCACTGTTAACTCTGAAGGTGGTTTTTGCCTTCCTTAGCTGGGGAATTTAGACCCCAATCAGCAATTACCCAAGTAATGGAAAATATACTGTGGATGCTCTTAAAAATACTGAATCTTAGATTAAAGTCAGCCTCATTTGGAGACTGAAGACAGAGGAAGCAAGTATATATAACTTTCAGGAACTTATGATATCAACTGAGATTCAACAGTATGAAAATTTGTGATTTATGCTTACACTAAATTGGGGAAAATGTGATTTGCTTTATTCTCTGTGCAAAACCTGTGATTTTTTTTTCACTTTTAGTTTCATGAACTAATATTTATAGTTAGAATTGTGAATACAAAGGCACGAGACTCATTTTGTGTATTACATTTGTTCTTATTACTTTAGAGTTGTAACATATATATGTACATACATATATGACAAATAATCACCCACATTATCGAACCATCACCATATTAGCTTCCTTGACATCAACTCAGTCGTTTTTGGGTTTTTTTTTCCTTAGTTTTAATTTCTGGACACTTTCTGAGGAGCCACCTAGAACTGACTCAGCGCTCCTGGACCTTCACTTGGGGCCCAAGACTCTGCAGCTGCTGTAGCTCTACATTTGCCTAAAGCAATGTGCCAGCTGTCTCTGCCCGTATTACCCTACAGTAATGTGAACAACTGGAAGCAATAATGTGTCTGCCCATTTGCCTAACAATACCAACATGAACAATAATTCAGAAGACTGAAGATTTGTGCTGTAATTTAATAAACCCCATGCCCATTTCTACAATTGAGTATCACATCTGTGTAATGGATCCTCGAAGTATAATATTCTTTTATAAGGGACCATTAACCAATCTTAAGTTTATAGGTTTCCTTAAATCTTTTTCATCAGCTGTTAAACTACAGTAAAGAGAAAATTGCCTCTTATGAGACAAGGGATAGTAAAATACAAAGACTGTGATTAAATGTCAATCAATTAAGGATTATAATATAATAAAAATGCTGACTGATGATTAAAATGAGTACTTTCTGGGAGAATTTTATAAGCAATATTAAGAATTGTTTTAAAAAGTTAGTAGAATAAACTTCAATTACATCATATTATATATGAGAGCCATCTACTAAATTACTTTCTTAAAGGAAAAGAGAGAAGAATTATGATTCAGGTGCAAAGATCCCCAAATCAGCACTGTGTCTCTTTACTCAAAAGGATGTCTTTGCTCTATCTCTTATTTTACTACAGTCTAGCTTCTGGGATTTTAAATCCATTTCTGAATGGAATAAATAACGGAATTTTTGTTTCAGCTGGTGTTCAGCAATCTTGTACAGCTGGGCAACAGTTTATGAAAATGGATCATGTAGTAAAACAAGAGAACAAACAAATACCATCTCAATTTAGGTAACAAAACACTGACTAGAACTTAGGGCTCAAGAAGGGAGCCCTGGGGCCTTTTGTAAATCTCTCTCTGCAAGCCTTCCTTGAATGGTACCACCATATCTGGCATCACTCTAGTGGAAAGTAATTTGGATTTGGATTTAAAGGACCTAGGTTCAAATTCTCATTTACTATATGTGCCACCTTTCTGGACGTCATTTTCCTCATTTGCAAAATGAAGATGACTCCCTTAAAGAATCAAATGCATTCACTGGCCTAGACGGAATCACTATACTCAAAACAAATGATCCAATTTATTCATTTCTTGTTGCCTGCTGGTCAAAGGTTTTGAATCACCAGGCTTCTTGCATTTAGCTGCAAAAGTGATGAAGCATATAAAATGGTTACTTGCTATCTGACAATCTGTGTAATTCAAGTGAGACTAAATAATATGTCTTTCCTTTCTTCCCCATTCCATTCTATTGCTCAAAGTGAATCATTGGCAAGGGGCCATCTTGCCTGTGTGGATGGGCTTTTTCCTTATAATTCCCAACCACATTCCAGGCCACTCTGCCTCCTACCTTACTTCTTCATTCCCCCAGCTTTCCAATACCATTCACACTCCTCGCTCCTCCCTCACCTCCCTCCCCGACAGCTTTCTTGATGAGCTGCATTAACCAGGTCCCTTCCAGGCTCAAAAAAGGATTTAGGAATGTTCTTTGCCAGCTTTGGTGGCATCTCCGAGCCTACACTATAGCAGCTGGCTTATATGAGCCTTGAAGGAGTAGCACACATGGTACCACATTGGAAACATGGGAGCAGCTGGCAGTAAGAACAGAGCCCCAAAGATGGCAGTAACTCATGGCCTTGCTAGAAACCGTACTGGTGATGTCTTATGCAGCAAAGACAGCAGCAGGACCATTCAAAATAAATAACAAGGAGAGGGGAGAGTGACAAAACAAGCGAAAACCAGATGGGGGGGGTACAAAGACAGTTTTTCTTCTTTCTCTAAGCATTAATGAATTCCTAACAAGCAAGCCAGCTAGAAATGTACTATCTTCAAAAATTAGGGGGGAAAAAATCCCATCACTGCATGTGTTGAAAATGAACGTAAGTGAACAAAATAACAACTTCTAGGTTATCCTCTTATCATCTTACATTATTGCTCTTCAGGGCTTCCCTTGGATTTCCTAAGGAATGTCAAAACACAGGTCCCAATTAAAGGCACGGTAAAAGCTCAAGCCAGCAAGTGTTTATTAAATGCAGGACAGGTGACAAGTCCTGTGGGAGACACAGGAGAAATAGAAGATGGGATTTTTACCTTTGAGGGACTTACAATCAAGCTGGGTAAGTAAAGTATGTAGAAAGGTTTCCTGTCTCTTTAAAACAGAATATTCTTCTATGTGGGACTACTAACCAATATAAGTTTGCTTAAGGAAAAAGAAACTTTATAATCAAGGACTAGGTTTTGTGGCTACACACTTAAAAAGGTATAGGCCTTTCTCTTTGTGACTGACTGGTTCCTCTCAGAACCTCTGTTTTTAGGAGGAAGCGCAAGCCAACTAATCCTCCCCAGACTACTCCTGACTTAACCTCCACAGGACTTTCTCTACCACTCCCAGAAAGATGCTTTCATTCCCCTCCCTCCTTACTTTACCTCTCAACTCCCTTTTATAGGTTTGTCTTTCCCTATTAGAATATAAGCTCCTTAAGGACAGGGAATGTCTTTCTACTTTTATTTGCATTAGCAAGGGGCTGGGCACACAATAGCACTTAATAAATGTTTATTGACTGAGAAGAGAGAATTGGACATGAAAAAGATTGCAAAAGAATAATACCAACTGGAAATTATATAGTTCTTCAAGGTTCACAGATTTTGAGCTAGAAGGGACCTTAAAGTTCATTAAATCTAACACATGCATTTTATTCATGAGGAAACTGAGGCAAACAGAGGTTAAGTGACTTGCCCAGGGTCACACTGCTAGTAAATGTATGAGATTACATTCAAAGCCAGGTCCTCTTGATTCCAGGTCCAACACTATAGTACTTATATACATTAAAGAAGGATGGGAAAGTCTCAGTGACTGAGGTAACTGATTGAATAATACAAAGGAAGACTCATAGGAGAACACAGGATTTCAGTCCAGGGCCTGGGCACCAGGCTGTTTGCAAACCTGGTAGCAACCTGGTAGTTTACTCTAAAGGTCAATGCAGTAACTTCTTATATCAGGGACTTAGCTTGTATGTCCTTCAGACTAGCATGGACTTGCTGGCATGTGGTTCTGCAGGAAGGAAAGCAGCGTGGTATATTAGAAAGAATATTCACTTAGATTGACCTTGGTTCTTAGCATGGCTATAACATGAACTGTGTAATGGTGGACAAACTAATTTCCCTCTCTGAGTTGTCCATATTCGAGGGTCATTCAAGGGAAGAGAGGAGTCTTATCAACTTGAAGAAGTTCAAGAAATGTAGCCATTAAATAGGACTTTGCTTGCATTTCCTTTTGGAAGGTCTATATCTATATATCTATAACCATATTATTATTTATATTTCTATATCATCTATGTCTATACACACACACACACACACACACACACACACATATATATATATATATATATAAATTACATGCACATGAATATCACCTTATTGAGAATATTAAGGACATCTTCTGGGACTGGCTACTTGTTGATCCATTAATCCATTCATACATCTTTGAGGATGAGAAATTAAGTCTCACCCTGGGGACTGGGGGAGATGATGTATTTGGCTTGGGTTATTTTGAGTCAGAGCCATCATTTTGTGCTGGATCTATAAAGAAAATGAAAAAAAAAACTGAATTGAGAGGAGGGGAAATTGTACAAAGCCTCTCATCTAACCTTCTTACCACCACTCCCCAAACCCATACTTTGGGATTTGCTAATTGCATCCTTGGAGAGGTGGGGTAGAATCAAATTTCAGTTGCATGTGTTCTCATTCAGCCAAATGCATACGCTTTCCATCCACTCAACCTAAGAGGTGGCAATGGTGGAATCTTTCAACTATGTGTCCCCAGGAGAGGATGAAACCACACGACCCAGCCTCGAGGATAGAAGAGAGTGAATTTCCTGGACAATGCTGAGTTCCTGAGGAGTTCTTGGACTTTAGGGAGAGGAAGGTGAGTTCCCAAATGGTAACAACTTCTTATAAATAAGACCAAACATGTAATCCCCTGAATTAAAGCAGCAACGAGGGACTCAGCCACAATACGTAGGAGCAAAAATATGGATTATGTTCTCACTATGATGTATTCAGACAGTGCAGGGCCAATAAGAATGAAGTTCTTTCTTGTTCAAGTTCCTCTCTTTTATTCAGGGAGTCTAAAGCCTTAGGATATTACTATAGGGTTTATATAAATCTGTGGGATGAAGGTGAGATTCATCAGAATGTTGGAATTTGACTAAGGTTTACATCAAAGACTTAAAGGATACTGTAAGTCATATTTTGTTTTGTATTTTCTATGGGGTGAAATACAGACTATCTTGTAGATGAGATGCATTATTATGTTTTTACACTGGAATTGGAGACCCTGTTACCTACATCTCTAAGGATGTAAACCAGGGCTGCTTAAACTTTTTCCACTCATGACCTCTTCTTAAACTGTGTGTCTCAGCCCCATGTGGACAATGTCTGTAATGTGAATTTCTCAGAGGAAACTCTGGTTAGGGGCAAAATGAGCCAAAGAGTTATGCCTAGGGGGCAGCTTCAAGAATAATCTAGGTCTGTATAAACCCAGAGATTAGTGGACCATGGGTTGCAAGTACTGGGGATAATACCCATATTACCTACATCACAATGCTTTTATGAAAAAAGCAACTAAAAAGCATCTTATAAACTATAAAGTATAATTCAAATGTCAGCTGACATTATCTTAAGGGACGTAGTCCTGATGGGAAGCCCCAGAGGTTGTACTTTGGTTTAAATCAAGCCAAGGGGGATCCTGGTCTTGGAGTGATTACAGAAGTTTTAGTTTACTTCCCAAGCTGCCTGGGTCTCACGGGACACCTCAGAGTTTAGATCAAATCTGAGGTTGTCTCCAGGCATCTAGCCCACCTTGGGACTGGCTCAGAGCTTTTGAGAATATTCTACACTGGGCTGCTTTATTGCCTAACCCCATATTCCTAGGGATGAGGCATCAACTGCATCAAGATGAAATGCTTATGTTTACCCTCTTTTCTAAGGCACCAAGATAAAACTCTCAATACCTTAACTTATTTTAACCATTTCACTTCTTTTACTCTGATTTTCACATTTTGTGTCTATAAAAAAAGGTGTCATAATTCAATTTTAATCAGAAGGTTACTGCTGCTCAGTAAATTGGGTGTTAAGATAAAGGCCTGGTTAGACTTTCTGGCACGAATATCAGTAATGCAAAGATGTTATAGGCCAAGAAAATGTCAGTAGAGATATGGCACAATTTTTCTGGTATTATGTCATTATATGGAGATCCCACCAAAAAAAAAATGCTTGTTTACCAACAGAGTGACTGATAAATTAGAGTAACAATACTTTAATTAATGTTAGTTGAAACTGGATAATTTTTAGTATCCTCTACCCACATTCTGCCTTTTTGCTATGATCATTACAGATGCAAGCAGGGGCCACAAAAGACTGAGAAGTATTCTGCATTTTAAACTATTTCATGATAGGGATGGAGTGAATTGGAGAAAAAAATTTTATGTGAATTGAAGAAGAAAAAAATCATCCTTTATGGCCAACCACAATGAAAATACAAAAAGGAACAAATATGTGTTGCAAATGATTTTCTACAACTGTCCACATCTTTACAATCCTGCAGCCATTTGAGAGCTATAGAAACTTTAGGTTCTCTCTGTGTTTGTTGGTTTTAAGAAAACATTTGAGTTGGCAGAGGATCATTCAGACTTCAAAGTTTTCTTCAAAGTATTTTCACATGTAAATCCAAATTCTGTATGCTTTCACAACAGCTATGACTGAAGGGAAAACTTTGTTGGCAATCTGACATTATGAAAGGTAAACCAGAGTAACATATGTTTTCCGTAGTCATGTATAAAGTTCAAACAAAAGAATTTTACATTTATAGGGACAGTCTCCAGAGCCTTCTGTTCACAGGTTATATTTTGCTACCTTTAGCTCTGGAACACTACAAAGCCTACTCAGGGAAATCTGCAGCATTGTGAAAGATGGTAATCTAAGCATCCACACTGAAAAAACAGAGTGGATGAAAAACTGCAGATTTCTCATATTACATTTAGACAGGCAGCCCACTGAATTTGTATGTATATCATTTTGAGGTGCTGCAAATGGGCACATAACTGTTCACAATGCTTTACTAGTGGATTTAGGGTTAAGTTATTTTTTCAAATGGATCTTGTTATATGGTCCCTGTTGAATGTACATGCTACCTGAAAGGACTAATATATTAGCATGTTTTCTGCATGTTCATCTCACTTCAACTGAGCCTATATGCTGCTGGAGGCCGGTTACTATACCCAATTAACTTGCTTCACCTACCTAGTTCTATGTTAGTGCTATCACATTTGTTGATAATGAATAAGTATATGCTGAAGGCAAGGGAGCTTGATATACAAGTTTTAAGGCTGCCCAGCCTAGTGCAAGTTCTTTTCTCTCACAAACTGAAGAAGGTTAACTCACCAGTATTCCCTATTAGCCTGACCAAACTTTTACTGCCTCCTACACCCTTGGGATATGCTTTTCCTTTGCAGTGAAAGATTGGCAAAGTGTCTGGATTAAAGTGAAACAGAGTTTACAATTGCCCTCATTCACAAAAAGCCCTGGGAAAGCAGATTAAAGGCCAAATCATTCCTTTTCCCCTTGCTCTTGTGGTCATTTTCGCTGATGTAAGCTATGCTCTATCCAGCAATCACAGTCATTTTCCTGCAAAGATTGATGACTGAATGGTCTGACTACCCTGGTGGTTATCCATCACACATGCCTATGGAGAATCAAGTTCTTGTCTTTCATCCAATTTTGGTAGCAATTAAGTTTGGGTTACTTCCAGGACCAGAGTCTTCTTACGCCACCCACAGAGAAGCAGGGCAGCTGAAAGGTTTCCTATTTGTTCTAGAATGTTGTTGTCTGCTCACCCACTGGGGCTCAAAAGTAAAAATGAAAGTGAGATGAAAAAGTTAGAAAAGAAAATTTGAATGATGACTTTAGTATCTAAGGCAGAAGTGTCTTTTAAGTATTTATTTGTAAGCTTTGGGGCAAACAGTTCACTCTGCCTATAAATCAGCAGTAATATAGGTTGTCTCAACATAGCTACTTATTTGCTGCATGATCTTGAATAAGTCTAGGGCTCTTCAGTTTCTCTGTCTGTAAAAATGAGTACAACAATACTTGTACAATCTAACTCATGGTTATTATGAGGAAATAAAGAGAATAAAAATAAATATATAGATATAAAATATAGAGTAAATTATGAAGTACTATATGAACGTGAATTATTGTTGTTGTTGTAATTAACTTAGGGACATTCAATTATAAAACTACCTTTACTACAAAAAGTCTTTCATTCTTTGCCTCAGTAATTCATATCCACTTCTACCTAAGTCCTCCACTACTGCTGCTCTTTCCCTCAGAGCCCTATCTGTATGGGAACCATTGCTGAAAAGCATTTGACACCCGTGCCCCATCCAATTTCCTTTACACCTTCTTTTTGATAGATCCTTTCTCCTATATTGCCATGGGAACCAATCAATCTTCACTTGGGCTTCAGCCCTCCGACCCCACCTTTTTCACGGTATGGGCTCAGAGAAGTTTCATGCTTAAGGAGGATTAGGGCTCATAGATTAGAAGAGTTTAGGTGGATGTTGCTTGCTTCTTAGAGAGAAGTGATAGATTAGAGGTATAGAATAAGTTCATTTTAGAGGTGAGGAAACTGAGACAAACAGGGTTAAGTGACTTGCCCTGTGTCACACAGCTAGTAAGGGTCTGAGACCAGATTTGAACTCAGGAGGATAAGTCTTCCTGATTCCAGCACCAGAATTCCATCCATTGTGCCACTTAGCTGCCCTAAAAAGGAAAACCCACCTCCTAATTGGGTCAACTGAGAGAGTCTCTACACTGACAAAGTCACAGACATTTGAAATATTGATCTGTGAAAGAATAGGTTAAATAGGTTCTCATGGTCTGGCTCTAAAAAACTAATTATTATTTCTAACTTTTTTTTCCTATTGGGAAAATTAACTGGATTCCAAACAAAAGACAACAAAATAAATATTGTGATGCAAACCAACTTACCAAACGATGTTCTATAGTGGGAAAATCAGGAATTGCTGGCCTAAGTTCATAATTTTAAATTAGAAGGGCCTGAGAGGTCATCTAGTCCAATGCCTTCATTTTACAGATAAGGGACAACTAACACATTGGATGTCAGTCAGAATCCAAAGAGACTTTGACAGGCTGAGTATTGGGCCAAACCTGTTAAGATGAAATCCAATTTGTTCAAATGTAAACTATTAAATTAAGATTCAAAAAATGAACTTTACAAGTGTAGGACGTGGGGAGGCAGAGTCAGCAATTTGTCTGAAAAAGATTGGGGGGTTTTACTGGACCGTGAGCTCAATATATGAGTTGGTAGTTTGGCATGGAAACCAAAGAAGCTAGTTTGATCATGATCTATATTGAGAGTTGTAGATTTTAGGAATGAGGAGATAATGTCTCTCTTAAATGGTGGCTCCAAAAACTGACCGCAATAGATAATGAGAAGCTGAAGAGCATTCAGAGGATGGAAACCAGGCTGGTAAAAGATTTTGAGTACACAT